TTTTGAATATTACTCGCTTACATTTCCAGACTTTGAATTATGGCACTTTTTGTCCTCCATATGTTTTGACTACCCTTTCAACCACCTGATGAATATTCATGAATGTTCTCAAATTTGTACGTCTTCATAAACCAATAACATCCTTGCTCTTGTATATAAACACATGCAACAAAATAAATATCAACTTTCGTTTGGAATACTTATTAAATATTTAAAATCGAAAAAAGAATTAGAACTGAATTTTCTACTTCATACTTTAAAATCTTGTATTTTATTTATTTCTTTTTCTTCTTTTTTTCTTCTTCTTCTTTGTTCCAATTCCCTTCCGAACGTTGAGGATCATGGCTCTTCACAATTTCCTTTCCTTCCTAATAAATATTGATATTTCTGAACGAATGTAGTGCCGTACGTAACATCCATATGAAGGTCTCGATTGATCGTCTATGTTTTAAACACAAGTTATGTTTGCTTATTGTTGCCAACTAATTCTTGCTATTAACATAACAGGGAAATATTGAGTAAATAGGGGAGATATGGATGCTTTGCCGATAAATATATGAAATCACACTTTTTTACATTATTTGGACTATTGTCCTCATCTTTGTCGCCATATTTATTACAACGTTTCCGCCGTTGTACGCCCCGGCCTTCTTAAGGTCCTGTCACTGGATCTAACTAACGCCTTTATACACTGTGCCATGTGTCCTAGAGGACATCTGTGTTATGGCACATAAAGTCGTTGCATAGATCCAGTGACAGGACCCAAAGTGCGTGAGTTCAATACCAGGTTAAGGCAGTGGAGAACTTTCAGAGGGAAAATTAACAGGATAATTAACTGATAACTGACATCCATTAAACATGGCACGTGGAACTAGAACAGTCTACCCCAGTGAGCGAAATAAAGGGTTCAGTTCGACATTCCAACCACCTGAAGAAGGCCGGAGCTTACAACGGCCGAAACGTTGTAATAAATATAGCGACAAAGATGAGGACAATAGTCCGAATGATGTAAATAGTATACATAATACCTCATCTCAGAATTATAGACAGATACTGAAGAGCCGAAACGTAATAAATATGGCGACAAAGATGAGGACAATAGTACGAATAATGTAAATAATGTACATGATGCCTCATCTCAGAAATATAGACAGATACTGAGAGGCCGAAAAGTTGTAATAAATATGGCGACAAAGATGAGGACAATAGTCCGAATAATGTAAATAATGTACATGATGCCTCATCTCAGAAATATAGACAGATACTGAGAGGCCGAAACGTTGTAATAAATATGGCGAAAAAGATGAGGACAATTGTCCGAAAAATGTAAATAGTGTACATAATGCCTCATCTCATAAATATAGACAGATACTGAAAGGCCGAAACGTCGTAATAAATATGGCGACAAAGATGAAGACAATTCCGAATAATGTAAATAGTGTACATAATACCTGATCTTAGAAATATAGACAGATACTGAAGGGCCGAAATGTTATAATAAATATGGCAACAAAGATGAGAACAATAGTCCGAATAATATAAATAGTGTACATAATACCTCATCTCAGAAATATAAACAGATACTGAAAGGCCGAAACGTTGTGATAAATATGGCGACAAAGATGAGGAAAATAGTCTGAATAATGTAAATATTGTACATAATACCTCATCTCATAAATTTAGACAGACACTGATATGAAATCACATTTTATCATATTTTATTTAACAAATCTTGCTGATGTAGGAATTGTAAATTATCGAATGGTATCTGAATATTTCTTCTTTTTTTTTTACTTTGTATTCGAATGAAATGAAAAAATAAATATTAAAGAAATGTTCGAAGGAGAATCTGCCGCCCAAAACGGGATTTTTGTATGGAAACAGGACGGACCAAAGGAAACCATTATGGATAAAAGGAGTCGGAGAGACGCGGCTTAAATTTCTGCCAATAAAAGGAATTGTTTTAAAGACAATCAAAAGCAGGAAGAAAAATTAAAGATGGCGATTGTATCGCAACTGGGCATGCGCAAAACACGTAATACTTCTCTTGTTGATAACGGCCCTAGGCACCTTCAATTTGTCTTTTTCTCTATTTTGACTACATTTACTGCCAATATCACGTTGAAAAACCAGCTCCCGTAGAATCACCGAAGTTAAGCAACGTGGAGCCTGGTCAGTACCTAGATGGGAGACTGCTTAGGAAAACCAGGTGCTGTAAAATTAGATGTGCACGTGGTTTAATGGGTCTGCAGCCATTTCATTTTGAAACATCAGCTCCCGTACAATCACCGAAGTTAAGCAACGTCGAACCTGGTCAGTACCTAGATGGGAGACCTCTTAGGAAACCAAGTGCCGTAAGCTTGGATGTGCGTGTGGTGTAATGTGTCTGCGGCAATATCAGGTTGAAACACCAGCTCCCGTACGATCCCCGAAGTTAAGCAACGTCAAGACGGGTCAGTACCTAGATGGGACACCGCTTGGGAAAACTAGGTGCTGTAAGCTTGGGTGTGCGGGTGGTGTAATAAATAACAACTGGTAATTTTTAATCGGAGAGCCGAGTTTCAGTTCCAATTCACTTACGAGCAAATAACACTGGGAAAGGCATGAATCCAAATCTCCCCACAGCTAAGGTTCTAATTAGCAAAACTTGGATCCCTAAATCATTATTATCTAAAAATATTTCCTGGCTTTAAATAACCTGCAAAGGGTTGATAAACCATAAATAACGAATCTATCAATGAAAGATTAGATACACAGGCCTGTCTTTTAGATTTATTTACTGTTAGAGGATTTAACAGTCTACCTCAGGAAGAGGAGGAAGTAATGGACACAATATTTGACACTTTCAATATGCAAAGGCCTCATGCAATTTCAGAACCGCGGAAATTAAGCAGAAAAAGAAAATTTACAGAGCCTTTGATGATTAATCCGAAGAGGGAAAATATTAAAGACCCCTGTGAGGTAAAAACTTGGGAGTGGGGGTGTTATGGGTGCTTACCTAGATCGACAAAATGAACTCTTCCTAACGCTATATATACTACGCCTCTCAAGAGAGACGAACGGTATTGAATCGAGTCAACCCTCTGTTTTGGGAGGGAGGAACCCAGACGACGCTTTGCCGAAGGGCAAAGTTTCGTCCGGGGAGGTAGACAGGCCCTGGCCCGTCTAGGCGGGTCCAAAGGGTATATTTTTGGCCGCGCCTACGTGCTCGGAGAAACCCACGTTAAACTCGGCCTTGTGCCACCTACATTCCTCTTGGAGGGGGGACTGTTAAATATCGGGATTGAGTCGAGTCACCCGCAGTCTCTGACTGTGTGCGACTTCTGTCGAACTCTGTGCTTTGGCAGAGAGGAACCCGAACAAAGCTTTGCCAAAGGGCAAAGTTTCACCCGGGAAGGTTGACAGGCCCTGAACCCGTCTAGGCGGGTTCAAAGGCTATACTTTTGGTCGAGCCTACGGGCTCGGAGAAACCTACGTAAAACTCGGCCTTGTGCCACCTACATTCCTCGTGTGGGACTGTTAAATATCGGTATTGAATTGAGTCGAGCTGATAGCAGTCACTCCAAACCAGTCGAACAGTCTTACTAACCCTTTCACTTCTTGTATTATTTCTCGTGTAATATATTCTTTGTTATTTCTACTCTTTGTGTTTCGTATTGTTCTTCCATGTTCCTAACCTTGGATCATAACATTTACATTCTCCGGAATGTAGAAACTGCCGTGGCCACAAATTGCGGGATCAGTTTGTATATTGATTGTAATTCAGAATAGATATCACACTTTATATCCACATTATAATTTTTGGTTTGCATATCAAATTCTGATTAGATGTGACTCCATTATTTTCTCCATCCCCCAATGTATGGGTTAATTAGCAAGATTTGTATTCATTACATCATTATAATCTCCCTCCCAAATTGGAACAATCTAAGAATAATTTCTAGCTGGAAATAGCTTGAAAAGGGAAGATAAGTCGTAAATAATAGCCTCCGACAAGATTAGTGATGCCATTCTCATAGAAGCTAAGTGTTTATTCCGTGAGACGACAATAGATAGATAGATAGATAGATAGATAGATAGATAGATAGATAGATAGATTGTGCACAAAATAAAGGGTTCAGTTCGTAATTCCATTCACCTGAAGAAGGCCGGAGCGTACAATATGGCAATACAGTCCAAACAATGTAAATAATGTAAGTAGTACAGGTTTTGCTTTCATTTTACTTGATACTTCCTTGTTCAGCACATGTTCCTTCCATGGTATTCTCTATATTTATAACACCTCTGACATCCCCCCCGTATTCTCTTCATCTTTGGGGGTCAATGTATCAAAGTGATAAAATTTCAATGAAAATATTTTTGGAGAAGCCGAGATGTAAGGTCATGACGGATGCAAGGGACGAGAAGTCGTGGAGAACCGTGGCCGCCTGCTTGCTGAAAGGATACGGAAAACTGAAGAAGAAGACTTTGTCATGTCAGATGAACAGATGTCGGATGAATTACGTGGAGAGAGTTTGTTTCAGAGATTTGGGCTGTTTGATGATCACCTCTCCCGCTTTCAAGATGGCCGAGAAACGTGACGTAAATTTCGACTGACTTATACTCAATGACCTGGCAAAAGATGTCTGTGGAAAGTGGAGACAGGGCGAAACGACCAGGTGTTTGTAGGAATAGAGAGAAGAGGTGTTCGCTGGCAGAAGATAGGAAAACAAAATGAGATAGATAGATAGATAGATAGATAGATAGATAGATAGATAGATAGATATTAAGAGACAACAATAGATAGATAGATAGATAGATAGATAGATAGATAGATAGATAGATAGATAGATATTAAGAAACGACAATAGATAGATAGATAGATAGATAGATAGATAGATAGATAGATAGATAGATAGATAGATAGATATGAACAGTGTGAGACAGATAGATAGGCAGGAAGGAAGGAATAGATCGATCGATAGATAGATAGATATTAAGAGACAACAATAGATAGATAA